ATATTCGTACAGGTGTATCTGAGCGATATAAAGTATTTTTATATGGATAATTATGGCCCACTTCCAGATTCAATTACAACTGATATAAAATAATCAATTTACAAATTGATGAGACATCTAGAAGCAGTAAGCGGTGTTAAAGTGAAAAAAGTATGTCAGAATTTTGTTTATATTATAAATTATTTCTTAATTTATTATCAGAAAGATTAAATTATTAGATAAAATAGACACTATTTCTTTGTATAATATAACTGTGTAGTATAACACAGTAATAATTTAACTTTTTTCCGGTAATTAATTAAAAATAATATATACAATAAAATGTATTTACATACAATAACAAAAATTATACAATATGACACAATATTTATGTGTAGTACAATAATTATGATATTTTATTTGTATGTAGTAACATAATTATTAAAAATTATGTAACGTTGAAATTATGTGACGCTGAAAATTTAATATTATATATAGATTTCATTCTATTTAAAAGATTACAATTTTAATTTAAAAAAATAACAGTATTTATATAGATAAATAATGTTAAGACTTTAGAAACAAGATTCATTTATATGAATAAATCAAACTATAATATAAGATAGTCAATTACAGTTGTATGTATAGTTAAAGTTGGATATTTCAAATATTACATTATATATATATTATTTATTAAATAAATTTATATAATTTTCAAACATGACATTGCACACCAGTAATTTTCAGACTTTTAATACAATCAATCTGAAACACTAATAATCTGTCCTAAGTTAAATTAAATTAAAAAAATTTCTAAAGAAGTTATTGCCAAGCAATATTATCTCAGGAGGCAAATATAGATAAATATAGATATATAGATAAATATTATATTTATTTCTTTGATTATTTGCAGGCAAATTTTAAAGATATGAAACGATCTTTTGAAATAAGCACGATTATTCTTCTCAGTATCAAAGACATATATTCAATATTTAATCGTTGGGATAATCCTAAGGTACAGTTAAATGACGACATTCATTGTTAAGATATGTCACAAATACATATTTCATAATTTTTCAGAAATCGAAGAGCATGTTTATGGAAATACTAAGATATATTTTCTTCATGTCGCCGCATACGTTTCCTGCTATTCTTTTCGGACTATTCAAGAATATTGTCGAAAGTTTCCCAGTCAGCATTTATAACGAAATGATAGAACTAAGGACGCAATTGAGAAAACAATTTGAGGTAGAGTGTTTACAATAGGTAATCAAATTATTAGAATCACTTGCATAAATTAATGATTTTTAAAACTGCAATTAATTTTTAAGTTTAAATGTACATATAGCAACACTATGTTGTTATTCTTTTAATGAAATACTGATGTTTACACATTTTAAATATATCCTTGGTATCACTATATATCACTAAATAGCATTTTCTCTCATATATACGTCATTTATGCAAGGCTTAAAATTCTCTCTATCTCTGTTTCTCTTTCCCTTTAAAACGAGAGAAAGAGTTTTAAGTCTCGCTCAAAGTCAAAGTAATGTTGGTGCAATCGGACCTTTGTCAATCTTACCGAGAATTGAAAGAAAAATTTCCAAGCAATATATCACCAACAAACGTCAATTAATTGTGCATTTGATTAATATATGCATAGGACTGAATATATATATATATATATATATATATATATACAATATATATATTAGCGATTTTTAGTAATTACTATCCTGTTAACTAATGCGAAAATTGCAAAATGGTAGAGGACTTTTCGACTCAGTTTAGTCCATTCTCTCTACACACAAGCGTTTTGTTAAAACTTTCCAGACACCCCCCTTCCTCTCTGTATATATTATATTTTTTTAAATTTTGTCTGTTTAACATATTGATGTCTTATATTCGATTATGTTAATATTATAATAACGTCCGCAATGACATTTACTTAGGAGCTGCTGAGTAATGATGGTGTATTAATTTGTCCATCTTTTATCTCATCGGCGTACTATCCTCACGAGTGTTTATACAACATACCTAATAACACATTTATGATGATTTTCAACGTGCTGGGATTTCCGGTCACGCAGTGCCCTCTTGGCTTCGATAAAAACCAACTGCCGATTGGACTTCAGGTAAAAAAATAAAGCTGTCGCTGTTTAATCATTCATAAATAAAAAATTGAGCTTATTTATTTAAGAGTCAGGAAACAGACTCAGTATAGTGATTACATAATCGATCGAAACTACGGAAACGATATAAACCGATATTCATAATTGATTCTTATTTGAGACTATTTTAAATATAATCTTAAAATGTTCTAAAACAATTACATGGCTGTATTAGTATCTCAAGATAATTTATATAAGATCTTAAAAAAGAAAGGACTGTGAATACCGATCGAAAGATGTAAAATATATAGATAAAATTTTGTTTTTTTGTTTTTATTACTATATGATTAAAGTACTTAAATATTGTTATACTACTGTATCCAGATTGTATTGATTTTTAATTCATTAAAAATTTTGAATTTGTACTTGGTAAATTCAGAGATTTTTTTGTATAAGAATTGATGAACCATTTACATTTAATTAGTTTTAACTTCATTTTTGTAGATTGTTGCGAATCCTGGCTGTGACCATTTGACGATTGCTGTTGCGCAAGAAATAGAAAGAAAATTTGGCGGTTGGCAAGAACCACAGAATAGAGGAGTCATCTGAGAAGCGTAGTATAATTTATGACAGACAATTTGGTTATAATAGAAAATATATTATAATTTTTATATATA